AGTGAGTGTAGGGCTGTGCAAAGCCCTGTTTCAACAGGGACTACAACAAAGATGTAAACATTTTTGCCTCGAGTTTTCTTGTAGAACCCCCTCAAGCTCAATGAGGAAATGAGTCCCATTTATCCAGTGGTGGAAACTGCAACCAGAGGACTGTAGATTGCACTGCCAATGGCATCATCCTTCCCCACCCATTAGAAACTGGGCACTGATCGAAGAGTCCTCACACCCTTTAAGAATTGCTTGCTCTGCACAGGAGCAATATGAAGAGAATCCAGTAGTATACTTCAACTAATTGACTCCTTCTGCATCATCGGATGTGCTAATGATTTGTTGGACAGTTATCAAGCTGTTTAATCTTCAGCCCATGCAGGATGTAGTTAGGAATAATATCTTTTGTACACGATCCACGTGTGTCACGCTGCAAGGACAGGATCCATCTCCCCACTGGGATGTTGCAAGGAAGGAGGAAAATCTCCAAAAACAGTCTTAGCTCCTATGACTCACAGCATCTGGATTAAAGGTATTAAACTTCTGCTGGGGCCAAGGGGAAAATCTTAATTACATTAATATCAATAGATTTTAGCTAGCACCTTTTTCATCACCACACTACCCTATGCTTTTCTTACAAGAATGAGACTTCTGCAAAAAAGGCTTTCTTTTTTAAAAGTAAAACAGTACTATTGCTATCTCATCTACAGCAAATTCACTAAACCGACGAAGAATCTGGTAATAATAATCATCATACGGTGACCTTTTCTTTTGAAAGCTGGAAAGTTTTTTGATAAATGAGGCAGTGATTAGGGAAAGAAAAGCAGTGCAGCACTGGCTGGAAGAGCTGGGTTCTGCACTCTGCTGTGGGTTTTACGTGTGCCAAAGTATAAGTCATTTAAAGCATGCCTTGGGAGAGGGACTGCTAATTGTACTGCTCTCTTATTCAGAGTGCTCATGCTGAGGCCCAAACTCTAAACTCCCAATGCTCGCATTCAATCGCAGCTCAAGCAAAGCTGTGCTTCTATCAGTCTGTATATCTGACAAATAATCTTTGGAAATTTCAAGCACTATGTGCACAGGATCGAATGCCCTGAGTTAGTGCCTGCTCTGAACTTAGTACCTCACCTTTCCACATTAGAAGGGGCAGTATGAATCCCTTACGACTCCTGTGACTGAAAATGTAGATGTGAGAGTATTTATGAAATATTCCAACACAGTAGCCCTAAATTTTATAGTAAAGCACATAGGAAAATGTGTTACTGCAGCACAGTATGACTATTACAAATCAAAAGGTGTGAGGGACTGCACGGTGACCACTGGGATCTTACTGGGAAGCCTATCAATGAAGCATCTTCTTCCCCATGTCTTATAGAGAAAATAGTAGGGTGTGAATTAATGTAACAGGTAAAGGAGATGTAAAGGAGACAAATTAAATAAGCAAACATAGCCTTAATTAAGCTGTATGCTAATTTTGGTATGTTTGACTTTACAACTTCACTAACATTTTAGCACAGTGGCGATATCTGTGCACTGATTATATCCTCACACGCCTTTCTAATTAAGCTATTCCAAAACAGTTACAGACAGATCTCCTCCACAGGAACATCAAAACAAACTGGAGTTTAACACTTCAAACTATCTTGGAATAGAAATGTGCTAGAGGAATTGAACATGCCCTCCCGATATGTAAATACTCTCATTTCCAAGCTGCTTCCTCCCCTCCTTTCCCCTTCAAGTATAATTCTACCCTGGAGGGAAATCTCGGGAAAGCTGGGCCTCAGGAAGAAGCTGAGAATTAGGCTGCAAACTTAAAGTAAACCCAATGTCAGCCCTGAAGTGTTTATCAATGACTCAGAGGAGTGAGCACCCAGAATACTCCTGTTGAAAAGCAGATGGACTTCTGTGACTGTATAGTGCTTGATTTAGTGGCATGAGGCCATCCCTGGGTGGAAATACACCAATCGCAGGAACAATAATGCTGCTGTCCAGGGGCACCTCTAACAGAATGCCACACAGGAGCTAGTATGGGGTGAGAGCATTTTTTTAAGTTGAGGAAGCTGGGAAAAGTTTTGCCCTGAGTACAAGTACAGATTTTTCATCTCCTGCAGGAGGCAATGCTTCCAAGCTACAGCTTTTCTGCTGATGCAAATTGTAAGTTAGTAGTGGTGTTTTGATCAGTATACAGAACGTTTATGAGAAATCCACTCAGCTCTGTGACTGCTGCAATCTGTCACTCTCGGCTCATAAGCCATAAAGAAGTAGCCATAAACAGCATGCCCGTGTCACGGGGCACCCATTCCAAGGGAACTTCTTGGCAGGTCTATCCTAAATCATGTACCCTGACCTCAGTTGAACAACCAGGGAACTACGAACAATCCCAGTGAGAAGCATGAGTTTTTTAATTATAGACTACTGTTAGTTTTGCTGTAGTTTCTCACCCTCCGTTCCTTTCTGTTTCACAGGATATCAGCCTTACCTGCTAAGCAATAACAGGCACCTAAACGAGTGCTTCACCTGCTTCACCGCTGCCACTGTGCATCCTCTGTTGCCATCCTGCAAACAGCAGTTCATTTTTCTGTCATTTTTCATGCAATCAAGGAATCATTAGGGCTGGAAAAGACCCCCAGACCATCTAGTCCAACCACCAGCCCACCCACACCATGCCCACTGACCACGAGGTAACTGTCCCCTTGCAAATAGCTGCCTTTGGAAAACCAGAGGCTGCATACCAGGAGGCCATTAATAGTGCTGTTAAATAAAGCAGTTCCCTCCTTTGGGGAAAGGTGCTGCTGCAGTGCTGCTGATTGCTCATGAGCAGAGGACAGCGGCCACCCAGCAGGCTGCAGCATGCACAGCAGCACACTGGCTGCCCAGCTGGCCCTGCTTGATACTGCTGGCTGAGCTGGTGCCACCATGCTGCACTGTCAGGCAGTGAAGAAAAGATTGTCACGCAGCAGCCAGGACACGTGGGGTGAAACAACGTGGCCGAACGCGCTCACCTGCTGCCTGCTTTGACAGGAGGGCTGCAGGGAGGTTCCCAGCATGAACTGGCAAAAATGCTGCTGCTTTTCATCAGGGTCCCAGGAAGCAGAGGTGGGGTGGCTCAAGGGCGAGCCCAAATTTACTCATCCTTCCGTGTTCCTGAGACCTGGCCTTGATGCAGTGGAGCAGAACCAGGCATATTTGTTCTGTCGTTTATGAATAATGGCCCCAGCATACTTTGATAACATGGCAACGGGACTGATGCCATCTTGTCTCCAAGTGAAGATGCCAAGAAATGAAATCATAGAATCACTGAGGTTGGAAAACACCTCAAGTACTCCAACCATCAGCCCATGCCCACTTATGTCTCTCGGTGCCACATCCACACGGTTCTTGAACACCTCCAGGGACGGTGACTGTACCACCTCCCTGGGCAGCCTGCGCCACTGCATCACCACTCTTTCTGAGAAGATGATTTTTCTAACATCCAACCTGAACCTCCCCTGGCACAACTTAAGGCTGTCATCTCTCATCCTATCACTTGTTCAATGGAAGAAGAGGCTGATCCCACCTCACCAAAACCTCCCTTCAGGTAGTTATAGAGAGCAATAATGTCTCCCCTGAGCATCCTCTTTTCCAGACTGAACAATCCCAGTTCCCTCAGCCACTCCCCATAAGACTTGTGATCCAGACCCCTCACAGCTTCATTGCCCTTCCTGAACACGTTCCAGGGCCTTGATGTCTTTCTTGTAGCGAGGGGCCCAAAACTGAACACAGTACTCGAGTAAGGCCAGTGCTGAGTACAGAGGGACAATCACTTCCCTGTTCCTGCCGGCTGCACTATTTCTGACACAAGCCAGGATGCCGTTGGCCTTCTTGGCCACCTGGCCACACTGCTGGCTCGTGTGTAGTCAGCTATCAACTAATGCCCCAGAATGATGAAGTAGTAGCACAATGTGGAGATCAGTTTTCGGATGGCAACCTTGAGCCCACGAGGCAAACATCAGGCCAATCATCACTGCTCAGAGAACCATCACCAGAAACATTAAGTATTCAGAGCGGGCAAGGCCAATAGGCAGTGGGGTGCAGACCAAAGCCATGGGTGGAGAGGCAGTGACAGGTTCCCACCCGGGCTTTGTGGCCTCACAGAAGGAAGGCAAAAACCACAGCAACCTCCCTGCCGCAGCTGCAGCCCAACTGGAAACGGTGCTGCTCCTCGTGCTGCCAGGCTCCCGTTCCTCAGAATGGTTTGTTTACAGCCGTGTCTAAAATAAACGTTGCCTACATTTTCTTCTTCTTCTTTTTTTTTTTTTTTACTCCTGTTATTCCTGCGGAGCAAGTTGGATTCCTTTCTGACTCACGCATGATTAACTAACTTCCAGCTGCATTATCTTTATTGTTGCTGCCGATGCGCCAGCCAGCGCTCAGCACGACGCGCAGACCCCAAGCTGCGTTGGCAGGGCTGCCGCTTACAGAAAAGGATTTTTTCTGAGAGCCGGGGCTCGGCGATTTATTGTTGTTATTATTATATATTTTTTTCTTTTTCGTTATTATTTTTTTCTTCAGGAGAACACACGTGCTCGGCTCTCTCGGGAAGCGGAGCGCACCCTTCCCCTGCGCAGCCGCCCCACGCCGGCGTTACACCGAGCCCAGCCCGCGCAAAGCGCGGCTCCCCGCGGCGGGCAACCCAGCCCCGGGACTCGGGCCGCAGGGCCGGCGGTTAAGGCCGAAGCAGCCCCAGGGCCCGCCACCAGGAAGCGGCAAAGGGAAGGAAGAGGCCGAGCCCAACGGGAGCCGCGCGAGCGCCCGGGGCACCGCCCGGCCGGGCCGCCCCTCGCGGGCTATCGCTGCGGGCCGCCCCCGCCTCCGGCCGTCCGCCGCCCGGGAGCCGCCCCCCGCCGCCGCGGCGCGGCCCGCCCCCGGCCCGCCCTCCCTTCCCGTCGCCGTCCCCTCCCAGGAAGGAGCCGGAGTCGGCGGCGCCGCGGGCCCGGCATGGAGTAGGGCGGCCCGGGGCCGTGCGGCGCCGCGCGGCATGGAGCTGGGCCCGGGGCCCTGCGCGCTGCCCGCCGGGGCCGGCGCCGGGAGCGGTTCGGGCGGCCCGTGCGCCGAGATGCTGCAGGTGGCCGAGGAGGCCTTCCGCGGCGGCAACTTCGAGCTGGCGGCCGAGATCTACGGCTCGGAGCTGGCCGAGCTGCCGCAGCCCGAGCGGGGCCTGTGCCTCCGGCGCGCCGACGCGCTGGCGCGGGCCGGCCGCATGGCCGAGGCGCTGGACGCCTACGGCGCGGCGGCGCGGCTGGCGCGGCTGCGGCCCGAGGAGCTGCGGGAGCTGGCCGAGAGCTTGGCGCTCAGCATCCGCGACAAGGAGCTGCGCCTGCCGCCCCCGCCGCTCCCGCCGCTCGGCTCCTCGGGCGGCGGAGCCGAGGGCGAGGCGCTGGGCGACCCGGCCTGCTGCCGTCCGCCGGAGCTCTTCGCCTGCCCGCTGTGCCGGCGGCTGCTGTGCGAGCCCGTCACCCTGCACTGCGGGCACACCCACTGCCGCCGCTGCGCCGAGCCCGGGGACTGCGGCCGCTGCCACCGGGCGCGCCGCCCCGCCGAGCCCTCCGCCGCCCAGCCCCAGCCGCCCGCCGCCCGGCCGCGGGTCAACGTGGTGCTGGGCAACCTGCTGCAGAAGTGGTTCGGCGCCGAGAGCCGGGCGCGGCGGCTGCGCGCCGAGGGGGACGAGCTGCGGGAGCGGCAGGAGCTGCCGGCCGCGCTGGAGAAGTACGACCAGGCGCTGGAGATGGGTGAGCGGCGGCTCGCGAGGGGGGGGGGGGCGCGGCCGGGGACGGGGGGAGCCCGGCGGGAGGGGAGCGCCGGGAGGGGCCGCTCGGGGGGCCGGGAGCGGGAAGGAGTTCCGGCCGCAAGTTTGGAGAACGAGCCCTCCCCGCTGGCGGCCGGCGGGGAGCTGCTATTTTTGTCCCGCGGTTATTTTCGTCCCCGCTCGGAAGGTGTCTCGCGTTGAGCCGCCTGCAGTCGATGACTCATTATGCAGCATTTCTAGAAAATCCCCTCTCGTGTTTGTGGGGGAACCGTCTTCCACGGAAGCGTGCGCGGCCGCGTCGGCGTCCGGCTGCGGCGTGGCCCCGGGGCCGGTGGCCGCCATCCGCGGGCGCTCGGTGCGTGCCGCTGCGCTTCCAGCCAGACGCGGCCATCGAAAGCGCTCAGTAACGTATAAATAGGTGGGGAGGCTCGCATTGTTTTTGTCTCAACGCCGTGTCAGGGTAAATCAGCGTTGTGACTTGTGGAGAGCATCAGCCCGTGTTTTGAATGTAACCTCTTTAGACAATTTCACCTCCTTAGGTTTGTTTGTGCGCGGCGTTCTCGGAGGAGTGGGGGGGTTTAAATGAAGGGCCCCGCGGAGGGGGGGGCAGCCCTGGTTGCCTGTGGGAGGTGGGTCCTCTGCATTGGTTGTAGCCTCGTAGTAGCACGGTGTATGGGCGTAGGCACGGGGCTGGGAGCCCTGCACGGCTCCCCCGCCATAGACATTTTGCTTTGGTGGGGGAGGAAGGAGAGCCAGCCGCCGTGGCGTTACGGAGGCGAAATCCTGCGGGCAGATCTCACTGAGACGAATGAAACGTGAAGAAAGCGGCATTCCTCCTCAGTGGAGGAGCTCCTTCCCTCCTTTGAACAGAACCACGTCCCTCACCCCCACCTTCCGTTGTTTCAGCGAGGGGCTGAGGCACCTTGGCTTTGTTCTGTGCTGTTGCTATGCCTGGACAAGGGCTTCTTCCTCACCACAGCTCTTGGTAGGCAGTGGGAAACCGAGGGCTGCGTGCAGCACGACTGGTCTGGCTGCTCGTGGCTCCTCCGCAGCCCGCGCTCTCTGTAAAACTATTACACGGTTTAGCTGAAGTAATCTCTGGTAAAGTAGGGCAGGACGGAGAGCTCGGGAAGGAAGGTGAAGCAGAGGGAGGGGAGAGGCTCAATGTAGGTCACAGGGAGTTTTTAGCCTCAAAAAATAAAAAAATAAAAAAATAATCCCAAAAAATAGCTGCGGATGCAGGAGAGGGAGGTGTGGCAGCAGCATGCTTCGTGCTGCTCTGTGCATGGTGGCCCAGGGGGACGCAGCGTGCCTGTCCCTGCAGCACGTCCTCCAGCCCTGGCTGCATGCCTCAGGGTCCTGAGGTAATGCCGTCACTGTGACTTATCCCTGTGAGAATAACAGCAGGCACCTTGCTGGCTTCCAGAATTCTAACACTAGGAGTAACTGCCCATTTGCAGATCCAGATCCCTCCTGATGAAGGGCAGCCCCACTCTCCCCCACGGCTGCAGCCTCCCCTCGTGTCCCCTCAGGCTGTGGTTGCACCTAGGCCAAGTTGCCATCAGAGCCCCTAAGCTTCCATGACTGGTACCGCCTCTTGTACCTCCATTGCTGCTGGGAGTCATGGCAGTGGGGATCTGCATGGCTTTTCAGAAACAGGAGTGGAGGCAGAAGGGCATGTTATATGAAGGGTTATATGTGCCCTTTGATGAGGAAGACTCTAGGCCTCTTGGTCTGTGGCTCAGGGGAATTTTCTCCTGTTTTCCTGCAGCACGTGGCTGGGTGTGACAACATTTGTAACGTTAAAGCGGGTCTTCTGTTAGCAGTTGGGTCTTCCTGTGGCCTCTTGTCATCTGATCTGCACTTTGATCCTTGGGGTGCTTCAAGTGTGCTGTAGATATTTTCTTCCCAGCAGGATCTGGAGTACCTGCTCCTCGTTTCAGATAGGAAAAGATAACCTGCACATCTTCAAGGTGGTGGCTGTTTCCAGTGGAACTAGTCAGTCTTGCTGAATCTTAGTCCTTCTGTCTTTACCTATCAGGTTTGCAGTGCCCCCACTGCTTCTGTCTTTGTTCTGAAGGATTCTGCTGCGAGTTCTGTTATCATTTTTGTGAAAACTGGCTTTATGCTTTGAACCTCCTGGCCCTCTTGAGAAGGCCACGGTTTGGTCATCTTCACTGCTTACACAAAGCGGCTGCTGCTTTCACTGCCGCAGACGTTGGAATAGGTCTCTATTGTTGCAAGGTATCTAATTACCGTTTCTTCAAAGCAAGCACGTGTCTGGCCACTTGAAAGGAAGCATTTGTTTCCAACTGGATCATGCTCAGTGCCAAGCTTTGTGCCGCTCAGCCATCACAACATTCAGCATTGCCACTTGGGCAATACCCAGCACTCTGGCTGCTCCTCAGGCACACTAAATGGGTGGGTTTCCTCCCTGCCGCCCCTCAGCTTTTTCTCTTCTCTTGCTGGTCTTGTGGACGTGCACAAAACTGTCTGGGAGCAGTACAGGTGTGTGTATGTGTGCGCTCAGAGACTGAGGGAGGCTGGATTTCAGTGACAAATGAGCAGGTATTTTGTGGATGTTCTTTTGAACGTATAGGTTTTATTTTTGTTTTTGTCCTTCCAGAGAGCAAATTGTAATTACAGAGGTAGCAGTTGGCTGTCTCTTAACAGGGAAGATAACGAGTAAGGCTTTACCCAGGTAAGGTGCCTAACACTGCAGGGCCAAAGACTGCATCATAGTGGGAAAGGAAATGGCAACACTGTTTATTCCCAGGGAGCAGTGTTTATCAAAAAATAGTCTGTCTCGTGCAGACCAGGCGCGGGAGCTCATTGCACATTTACTGCTGTAGTCTGCTGGCATTAAAATTAGATTCAGCATGGATCTGAAGGAGACTGTGCTCTTCTCAGGGTGAGAGCATGCTAGTAAGCAAATAAACACAGAGACCATAAGGGGATTTGGGTACTGGTGACTCATTCCTTCAGCTGCTGATCCTCTGTGCCTTTCTTCCTATTGAGGCAGCCTATTAGTATCCCATGCCTTTCCTGTAAATAAGCCTACAAATTCCTGCTCAGAGTGTGTGGCTGCCTCCTGCACCAGCTTCAGCAGAACTAGGTTTCTTCTGGGGGATTGCTGATGCACATACCCATTCAGATTGCCCAGCTTCTTTGTTTTTATCCCCCTCAAGAGGCTCAGAATAAGACTATAGGAGATTGCTGAGGCTGAAGACCATGGTGGAGTTAAGGATGGATTAGTATGGGTGCAAGGGGGCTTTTTCTTCCCAAGCACATAGAGAGGGCCATCTTGCCCACACATCTCCATTTCCAGTGGATAAAGGGCCAAAAGAGAGGAGGAGGTAAGTTCAGATGGAGTCTGCCAATAGTGTTGAAGGTGGAGTGCTGGGAGGAGTGCTGCCATGGGTGCCTTGTGCTGCTACTTCCAACTCTGGGGTGGATAGCATGTTGACCCTGAGAGATAGGGTGGCATTTGGAGCATGGCTATAAACAAAACTAGGTGCTCTCCTGGGCTTTGGTGGTGGGAAGAGACTCAGCCTCTTGAGTGAACCTCGGGAGAGAGAGGTTTCTTCTCCCTTCTTTTCCTCTCAGTGGAGGTTCACCAGAAATTGGCCCAATCCAAAAGAAGACTTAATGCAGCCACTCAGCAGTAATTTGTTTTGTGGTAAAGCCATTCATGGAAACTTGTTTGACGCCCAATGAATTCTCCCTTAATAAGAATTCAATTATGGGGGGAAAAGCAAGCCGGGAGGCAGTGGAAGAGTGGCATAAAGGGAGACTCCGGCTCATGAGGATAGTATCTCAGGCAAGCTGTGCTGTTCTCCAGCAGCCATAGCCTTTTAGGGCAGCTGTTGAGTGCTAGGCCCTGCACCTCTACCTTGTGCACTGCTTATATAGTGCACTGTGGTTCGCGTGCTGCACTGCATCCTCTCTGCCTGCACGGAACATCAAGGGTGCAAGCTGTCTTTGCCTTCATTATGATCAGAATCATAATGATAGGATATCCCAAGTTGGAAAGGACCCAGAGAGGCAACTGAGTGTAGTCCTTGACTCCACAGCAAAATCCAAACCCTATGCCTGACAGCTGTGACCAAATGCTTCTTGAACTCAGGCAATCGGGTCTGTGCCCACAGCCCTGGGCATCCCGTTCCATGCCCACCGCCCTGTGGTGCAGCCCCTTTCCCTGACCCCCAGCTGCCCTCCCCTGACAGCTCCATGCCGTTCCCTCGGGCCCTGTCGCTGTCACACAGAGCAGAGCTCAGCGCTGCCCCTCTGCTCCCTGTGAGGAGCTGCAGCCGCCATCAGGCCTCCCCTCAACCTCTTCTTGTCCCATCGCATCTTGCCTCTTATGTATACATGTTTGTTCACGTCAGTGTTTTTTGCATATGAATTCAGTTGTGTTACATTCTGTACCCTTCCCCATAGTTTTACATCAAAACTGAGGATGAACATCTGCATTTTCACTGACACTGGCTTTCAGGTTTAAATCTGTTAACAATATGCAGATTTTGGAGCCCAAATTTGGCTTGCTGAAGAACAGCTCATCTGTTCTGGAGTGTGGGGCAAGTGTGAGTTGCCCATTTCCCAGCTGTGAGGGAGCTGCTAACAGCTTGTGTCTGATTTTGTAGGCTGAGTGAGACTTTACATCAATTGCTGTTAAATAGGAAGGGGAAAAAATAAATTGTGAATAGAAAGTAAGTGTCTTGCTGAGTCCTTTGACCTTCCATACAGACTTCTTTATTTTAAATGATGCTTCAGTAGAAGTTGATTCCAAAACAGCTGCCATGGATGTTCCTGCCAATAAAAGCTAAGTCGTGGGGGATTGTTGCTTTCCAAGGAGTGCAGTGTGAATGAAGTTCCACCAGAATGTTCCTGCTGTTTGGTTGAATGCTTGTAGTCCTGAGTAAAAAAGGCTATAGGCAAGTGATCCCAAAACTGATTTCCTAGGGTGTTTGCTTTCCAAGCCTG